CAGCGAAGGAATGGGAGTGGGGCGATCGCGCTGTGGGTGGTGGCGTTATTGGCCGCGGAAGCCTGCATAGTGCACTGGGTGAAGGCGTCGCCCTCGGCTGGCAGTACGTGCACAGTAGCGATCATCGGGCGCGGTGGCGGCAATGACTGGCCCCGTTCGACCATGAACTCGAGCTCTCCCGTGAGAGTATCGATGGCTGCCGCAGTGGCGTCGCCGCACTCGAAGTCGACCGTCACAGCGACGCTCGCCTGCACGCCGGAAATGGGCGTGGTAAAGGGGGGAGCAGAGAGGGAGAGAGGCCGGTAGGGCAGGCGCGCCTTGGGAGGCTCGTCCCCAGAGCCGCACGGGCCTGAGTACCCGGGAGGAAGCGTGGGACACACGCCGCCAGCGCACACCGCCTCGTCGTAGCACGGGCGGTAGTCGATGCAGCCGTCGCACTGACAGTGAGCCTCTGTGCTGCCGCACCAGCCATAGGGCGAGCAGCAGTAGTCGATGTCGCTGTTGGGGTCGCACTCGCCGATGGCGTTGCCAGCGAGGCCCGGGTATCCCGGCCCGCACCTGCCCTCATGGTTGTACAGTGACGGTTCAGAAGGCGGCGGCGGGGCTGGCGGCGCTTCAACAGGCGGTTCCACCACGCCAAAGTTGTAGATCACGCCGCTGCTCTCGCGCGATCCGCCCTCCCAGACCCATGTGCCGTTGTTGAATTGCGCTACGTACTTCTCAGAGAAGCCACCTTGGTCAAGCAGGTTGAACAGCTGCACGTTCGGGTTGCTCCTGTCGCCCTTCTCGTCGAACTCAACGCGCCCCGAAAGGCCGTCGAACGAGAGGTTCTGCTTGGCCTCCCAGAACTGCGTGCCAAATGACGCCGGCAGCGGGCCCGTCGGAGCCACTCGGCACGACAACAGCCCTGCAGCTATAACAGCATCGTAAGCAAAGGTGCCGCCCTCGCGTAGCACGGCACTCGTGTTAGGATCGACGGTTCTGAAGAAGTCGTCGCGGATCTGCCAATCGGCGGGCAGGAACTGGTTGAAGTCTCCGGGCTGGAGCTCCGGCCAGCGCTCGTTGGCAAAATGGGCCCACTGTGGGTTGTTGTCGGTTGCACCGACCGCCTTGATTTGCAGGCTGCCGTTCAGCGCGGCCTTCGCCTCCTCGCTTAATTCGGAAAAGGTATCGGAAAAGACATCGACAGGCAAAATGTCAGAGAAGACCCAAGAAGTACCGGGTCGGAGCAGACTGGTGTTCAGCGCAGTCTCTACGATGAGGCCAAGGTTCGTTCCCAAAGTGAGAACTAGCACTGCCTTGGCCCCGCTGCTGCTCAGACTTTGCACGGCGTCCCGGATCGACTCTTCGCGGGTCGATTCATCTTCGGAGAACTCTTTGCTGACGAACGTCAACCCGAGGCTCTGGCACTCTGCTTTTGCTGCTTCCTCGTAGGCGCGGCCGTACGCGGTCTGCGCATAGAGTACGGCCACTGTCGATACCTTGAGTTCATCCTTCCAAAAGGAACAGAGGTCAGAAGCGGGCGCAAGTTGCGAGGGTATGGTCCTCATAAAGCGAGGGTAGAAGGTGTCGGACAGATCGGTCGACTGTGACCAGTACGAAATTTGAGGGATGTCGAGAGCGCCGGTGATGGCCGCGGTGGTGGCGGAGACATCGCTACGAACGGCTCCGATGACCACATCTGTGCCAGACGACAAGTCTCCCAACCCCTGGACTGACTTGGCAACTGTGCCGCCGCTGTCGAGCAGCCGGAACTGAAGCTGCTTGTCGCACCCAGCCAAGGTCCCAAGCACGGGTAGAGCAGTAGCGGCCCGCGAGTTGAAGTCCGTCACTGCGGTCAGGGCGGCCGCAACGACCGCCTGCATTCGCTTTGGCAACCAACACGTGTCATCGACAAAGTCGCCGGCGCAAGTTTCGGCGGAAGTGGAGCGCGCGTTCGATTGCAAGGTGAGGACTGCGAGGCTCACATTTGTGGAAGCGAGAGCCGGCAGCAGCAGTGACAGCATGGACGGCTGCCAGGGCCGGCCGGCGTCCACGACGAAAGGCAGCCGCCAGCCAGGAAAAAGCAGCCGCCCTCGGGCAAGGCACGAAGTGGGACGCCGATGAAGACACGGGGCATGAGCGACGGAGACTCCGCTGTGAAGCCCGCGCCGAAAAAGGAGTGAAGGGGGGGGAACGTCAAACCAGACATGCGGTCTGATGATTAATTGTTTTGACCAAGAAAGAAAGCCCCGCACGTCTGGTTTGCGGGAATGTTCGATTGTTTTTGTAATGTTCGTAAACGTACTGAGAAAAGGGTTGCTTAAAGGGAGGAGTCGAGCTCGAGCACAGGCTGAGGGTCTCTCTTCGGTTCGTACCGCAAGAAGGACGCATTTCTCAATACAACCTCTCCCTCTCTACCTCCTCTACGCGGGCAGCCGCGTCGAAGTACGGAGGGGCCCTTTGCAGAGGGCGTTCCTCCCATGCAATCAAGGAGGTGCGAATGATGACACGCCCTCCGATCGCCTTTGGCCTCGACCCGGCCCACCCGGCCCACCCCTTGCGAAACACACGATGGCGACTCAGTGCGGCCTCGACCCGTGCGTGCCCACGACCGACACGGCGGCGGAGCGTGACTCTCACACCGCTCGGTTCAAGCTCCGTGCAGTCCGCGCCGCACTTGCCCGCCCAGTCTGGTATCGCATCAGCCCGACGTGCCGCGAGTTTGGAGTCAGCTCGCCCGAGCTGCGCGGCTGGATCAAAGACAGAGACGAGCTCGAGGCGCTGGGTGTGCTTGAGGCATACGTCGACGCTGTGCTTGAGGGACCGACGCTGCCCGATTCGCCGAGGTGCGTCACTTGGCCTCACAACAGCACGGGGACGCTCCCTGAGCAGGAGGCTCCCGCCTCTGAGACCGGGCCTCCCATGTGTTCGAATGAGCCCCAGACGTGTCTGGCGAAGCTATCGACGCGGCAGACGGCTTTCTGGCTCGATCCGCTCGAAGAACTGTCGGAAGAGAACTCGTGGTCAACGTGCCGGATGGCGTGGTCGCGCAATACGCGCGCGAGCTAGGGCGACTCCCACTCCGGCTGGAGGGGGGGGCGGCCAGGAAACGGCTTGGTTGCCCTCGGTCAGTCCGCTAGCGCTGGTCAGATGGAGGGCATCGACGCCGGCCGGCCGCGTCGTGAGTCCGATCTTGAGCCACAGCACGTGGCCCTCAGTGCCGTTCGTTTGTGTCCAAAAAGAGCCGTGTCGTCACGACTCTCTCGTGTACAACAATTTCTGTGAGTACGGCTCTACGTTGTCCAAGCATATCGCATGTGTCTTAGATAGAGTGTATCGATTCGTGTGTCCCTTATGTGTCCGTGTGTGCCGCCTCCCGGTGTGGGTGTGGCGTCGGCGTGTGAGGTGTGTGCGGCGTGTGTGTGCGTAGTAGGTGTGTGTGTGGTGTGTCAGAGAGACGACAGACGAGTCGTGTGACTGTATGTCTCTGAGAGTCGAGCCGACAGCCGAGACGCGAGAGACAGAGATGCATCAGAGAGGGTCTGTCGGTCGTGCGCAGAGACAGCAGAGAGGAGAGAGAGAGCCTCCTCTTCGGGGTCGGATATATTATAACTGGCGCCACTACATAACGGTCCGGACCAATACCGCCTGCTGAAATGGATAACAGACCAAAGCTCTCAGTGAAAATCTTTAGCCCAGCCTAACTAAGGAGAACGAAACGAGAAAGCGGAGAGAAACCGGCGGCACGGCGGTCGTTGCGTGCAATAAGCCACTAACAATTCTCCTCGGCGATACCAGAATGTGTCAGCTTGCTCGCTTCGCTCGACTCTTGCCGCGCACTCGCCGCCGGCATAGACACGTCGCCAGCAGCAGGCCGGCGCACGGCAGCATGACCCCGCTCCCTCCGAGCGCGGCGCTGCCCGCGGGCCCGAGTCTCCAAAAGTCGCCGCCCTCCACGGCCCCTTTGCGGAGGTTGACCCCGCGTAGGTAGGGCACCCGCCGCGGGAGGCTCGCGTTCGGCTCGCTCTCGCCTCCGCCGGTAAGCACCCACGCCGCGGCGATCGCCCGGTGCTGGCCCTCCTCGATCGAGTAGCGCGCCGACTCCTCGCACGGCGATGCGGCGGCAAAGGTGAGCGAGACGGCCTCCGCGGCCGTGGCGTGCCGAGCAAAGATGCGGGCGCCGCGCGCGAGGCGCGCGAACGAGAGCGCTTCGGAGAGGCTCACGGCCGAGAGCAGCCAGGGCACGCGCAGCGCCGCGGCCTGCATCCCGCCGAGTCTCCGGATGACAGACACGACCTGCCGCAGGCTGCGCCCCTCCGCCAGCAGCGCGCGGTTACTGTCTCCCGACCAACAGACGAAGCAATCGAGGAACGTGTGGATAGGCGCAGAGCCGCTCAGCAGCTCACGATCCTCCGGAGCGCCGAGGACAAAGTCGCGGACCCGGGCCTTCTCGTCGGGCGCGAGGAGCGCGAGCGCCGCGTCCGCGTCGATGGGCCTCTCGGCCACCATGTTGCAATACGCACGGCAGCAGCAGCAGCGTGCTTGGACACCCAGGCGGCGACACCCAGTGGCGCAGCAGCGGCGGGTGACGCGGTTTCTTCTTTCACGCGAAAGGACAGGACCTCGTCATTTCCGCACGAGCCACACGGCGCCGACGACAGGGCGGGACGCCCGGCAGAGGCCAGCCGCCGGCACAGAAACCCGCGGCGCCTCTGGGCGCTGCCCGGGGCGCGCAGTAGCGCCCCGCCCGGACTCGCTTCGCCGTTTTCAGCAATTTTTGTTTTTGTTGCCGTTTTGGGCGAGCAAAGAACTCCAATTTTTGACCGTCGGCGGTAAATTTTGTCGACCGGACCGGCCAATTGCTGAGACGCCCGTGAATACGTTGCGGAACTCTGCTTCCCTTTCCCGTGGCCCAACGGGGTCGGTCAGGTTTTTACAGAATTTCATCATCATTATATCCGGAAGGCAAAAATAAAATACACGTCGAAATTCGTCATTTGTGTTTCCCACGCGACTCCCGCTTCCACCTTCCGGGCCACCAGTGGCCGAGACCTCTGGACCACGCACGTAGCAAATGCAGTGCGCCTACTGCACCAGCCAACTGGTGAGCGGGGGAAGCTGGTACATGCTCGCTGATCGTCGGTATTGCTGTCAAGAGCACCGCCTGAGCGCACACGCTGCGGCGGCCGCGGCAGCAGCGGCTCGCTCCTCGCCAATCCCTATCCCGATGCAGAAAGTTTGTCGCCCGAAGCGTGTAGGCAACCCGCTCGAAGCCCTCCGCGTCTGCGCCAATGCAATGCAGCGACCAAGCAGCGACCTGGTGCTGCGCTAATGCTTGAGCACCGTCCCGGCGGAAAGTCTTTTACGTGTCCGTTCAGCCTCCCAGTCGTATGGATACTCATTCAAGGCGGAACTCCAGTTCAATTCGCACGCACGACGAATCGTGCGCGCGAGACCGTCGCAAGCGATATCCTCTCGTCAGGGCCTTGCGCTGCTTGCGACGATCGCTCCCAACGCCTCGCCACACGCCTGGCCGCTCGACCGCCCCTTTGACGCGGTGGCGAATACTGAACGCATCCCATGTAACGTGGCCTCCCCCGCATGCTCACGTAGCGCTGCATTCCGCGTCTTTCCTCTCTCCGCCGCCGTCAGCGCTGGGCATGTGCGAGTGCCTCTCAGAGATGTGTCAGAGTGTCGTGAGACCGTGTGTCGGGGACTCGGGGGCTGTCACAGTGTTTGCCAAGGTGCAGCGACCGATGCGGCGGCCCTTGCGGTTGCGCGCACTCCCTGGGACTGGTCTCACGTGGTATATGTTCCTTTTGCCCCGAGCGACGTGTCCCGAGTCGTGCCGCGACAATACTCATGTCAATACTCAACGATAACTTCTCCTCTCGGCTCTCCAAAACCTCTCAACAGCAGCAGCGCCGCTCCAGCTGTCTCGAGACCTCACAGCTCACACCTCTGAGAATGATGCCTCTGACTACCGCGACCAAATCTCTGCGGCGCGGTTCTCTCTCCGCTCCCCCGGCTCTAGGACACCGCCCGCGCCTAAGGCTGATGCAAAGCCAGCGGGACCCGACGGCATGGGAGACCTCCCGCTCGCCGACCGCCCCCCCGCCCCTCCCCCTAGCGGCGCGAGCCCAGCGCGAGGCCGACAGCGATGCCGAGCACGAGCCAGGCGAGGGAAGCGAGCGCGCCGCTGCCGCCGCCGCCGCCGCCGCCGCCGCCGCCATCGCTGC